TAAATATTTAATATATAAAATAATTATATATTAAATATATATTTAAATTGTACCAATAAAATTAATTTTAAAAAATAAATTAGATGTTAGCTCTGTAATTGCTGAAGAAAAAGCTATTTGCCTTCAAGATATGCACTTGATAAAAAAAATCAAAGAGCCAAGAGCCTGTCAGGCCCCACATCTCATAAACTTAAGCTGAGTTCCTCTCTTAGATTTTCTGTACCCCTCTTACCTTCAGTGGCTTCTCAGACTCTGGAGTCAGCGTTCCCTGACGAAGGATGACGAAAACTCAGAGCCAATGATCTCTTTCAGGAAAATAGGTGTAGAGGTTGTCGAGTTTACAGGGATGTGGGTGATGCTCCAAAGTGAATTTAAGTACAAGATCAGATCACATCAGAGGACCCTCTCTGTGCAAATTGCGACAGCTTTGTAACTTCTCGTCAGCTGAAATTCAAATTATCATTCACTGTGGGCCCTCTGGCATTCTAATTTCCTTCAGAAATTGTCCTCACGCTCTAGAAAAATAACTTAAGCATGTTGCCACCGCTTAGTGCATTAGTCACAGGGGCAGGAAAAGACAATGTGGTAAAAATAAAAAGCTCTATTTCTTTTTATCTGTCCAGGGTCCTGTTAGGGAAGCTGACTTAGTAGACAGCAGGCCACAGCTCAGAGGTGAAGGTGACTCAACAGCTGTAAAGAATGGTACATAATGAAAGTAGCTGCTGTAAACCTTCATAAAATTAGTGGAGAATTTCAAGGGCAGCAACCAAGCAAGTAGGAAGACCAGAACATCTGATGATCTCAGAAGTGAGAAAAGTCTTCAGTTCACACTGTTTATTCTTAAACATGAACCCACAAATTAATTTCACTAAGTACTTCCAGGATGCTTATTTGAGTGGCTGAATCCCTTGATACCACCAGCAATTGCATGGGACTCTTTTATCTTACATCTTCATCTCTATTTTGTACTCTCCATCTTTTAGATTTTTGTCAAGTATTATGGCTATAAAGGCATATCTCAGTGTTTACTAATTTTCTTCTTTCTGGCATCCCATGAGTTTGAACACCTGAGCATGTAATTGTTGGGCATTCATGTTTCTCTTTTTGTGTATATTTCCTGTTCATATACCATGCCTACTTTTAAACTGAGTCTCTTATCTTCTTCATGCTGATTTGCAGGATCGCCTTGTACTTTAAAATTTAAATATAAATATGTAGGGTAGTTGCTTTTGATATTGTAGTTATCTTCTCCCATATCATTGCAGATTTTGTATTTGGCTTTAATCTCTTTGGGGTTCACTTTTGTTTGCAAGATGAGCCAGGAGTCCTCATTTATTTTTTCCATGTATGAACCACTTTCCCCAACACTATTTAACTCTTCCTCCACTAAATTACAGTGCCATGTTTGCTGTGTATCAAGTTTCCACTTAGAGTTGAGACACAATCTCTTATCTCTATATCATTTATCTATTTACCTATTCTGGTACCAAGAGCACACAATTCCCATGATTATGGTTTGAGGGCCAGGGATTTAGCTCAGTGGTTCCACCTCCTGCCTCAAAAGCACAAGGACCAGAGTTCGATCCCTGGTACCAAAAAATAAAGCAGCAACAAAGCCATGATTATGGTTTGAGAGTTGGTTTTGGAAAAATCCTCCCTTCTTTGTTCTGTTTTTAAATTGACCTTTATCCAGGAGTAACACGTACTCTTCCCAGTTAAGTTTAGGGAATTGATTCTGGAACATTCCTTAGTCTGAAGAGCCTCTACCATAGAATGCAATCTAGGATCAATTTTTCTTTGACACCTGCCTTGCTATGTGAAACTTCCTGAGATTCTGCCTCGTATAACTTTTTTCCAAGATGTCCCTTTCTCCTTTGGGGTCACCTGCTTATACCTGCTGTTAACTATTCTCCATTTTAGCCCAATTCTGGCACCATCTTGATATTGATTTCACAGACACCTGCTGGTAGCAGAAAGCTCTGCTCTTGACCTGTGACACCTGGGCAAAGTGGGAAAGAGGAACTTGCAGACCCACGCTATGGCACCTGACACCATCCAGCCCTGACTCAAGGAACACAGTCAGGTATTTGACTATGTGAGTGTCACCTTTAGCTTTGTTACAGGGAATGGTTAAATGAGTCCACTCATGGGTGGTACTGAGAAGAATGTCTGGCACATGGTAAATGCTCTACAACTGTTAGCTAGTTATTGAAAACTATCGTGCTAATGGTAAAATTAATAATATGCATAATGAAAATGAGCTTGTTATCTTCATAGATGAGTGGTTAGACTATGAGAAGATAAGTGTCCTGGTGATGAGAGGAGCTGGGATTCACTCACACCCAAGTGTGCTATTTCCAAAGGGTGTGCTTTTTCTATTACTCTTTTAGATATGGTGCCTCTGTCCTCCTTCCTCACAAAATCTGATTGGCTCAGAAAAATCTGCAAGACATTGAAGGTTGTTTATTGCACTTTAGTAGGTAGTTACTGAATTGTTCAGTCTTCAACTAAATACATCTTCAAACAAGCCTTCACTGATCACTCCATCTAAATATGATAATCCTCATTGGTATTTTAATTTATAAAATGCTGGCTTTTAAAATTTTTCTCAGAGTTCCTGCTTCCAGTGATCCTTCAGGCTAATGTCGGAAGCAATAATGATCTTAGGTGTATTAGAGGGCTCTTTGTGCTTTTCCAGCTGACTCATGTTCATGCCAATTTTCCAGTAAGTGGTACCCAATGTGGCTCCTGGTCAGACTGGATTGATGGCCTCTGGTGTACGACCTGCTAATGCAGCCCCGTGAGCTTACTCTGGGTGATGGCTGCCCTGTCTGTCATGCTGCCTGAGTTCTTTGACTTCATGTATCCTCTAACTTCACGTGGCATCAGGATTTATGAATAACAATCAGGTATTTTCAATGAAACATCAGTCACATATAAATTAGGCTATTTATATTTTCCTCCTATCTCCCCATAACATGCTTTGTTCCAAGAAGGGTGCCATTGAGCTTTATAGTAAGAATAAAAGATCCTAGCCATAAACATCAAGAAGGAGCGGGACAGATGTCATCACTTTCAGGTGAAATTGAATACCTGGGAAGACTTCTAGGTGTGTCATCTCAGGGCAGCTGTCCTTTGTTGGGCCATAGAAACTTTACTATTTCACATTACGTGGAGGAATATAAACTATAAATTGGGGACCATGAAGTAATCTTACCAACCCTGGCTGCTTGAAGATTTCACTGGTCCTTAGATGTTGGACAAATGCCTATGGGGATCATCTTTGACAATTTCAATATGACCTTTCAAAATGAAAAACTTG